AAAATTTTAAAAATAAAAAAATAAAAGAAGTGAGATAACTTAAAGTCAACCATTTTGAGTCTAATAGAACTGCCTCACTGCTCAATTAGCAATTCTGTCTAACTAGTAGCATGAGATCTAGATTTCTTCCTGAAAGATTCCCTCCTTGATGGTCTTAGGATAATACTGACTCTGCTACATATTAAAGGTGAAGATATAATAGCTGCCCCACCAGCTGAGAAAGATGGGCTTATAATATTTAATCAAACTCATGCTATTTTTTTTCTACCTAAAGTTTTATCAATATTACAAACTACTGCACATTTTTTGTTATGTGATTTAATGAATGGTCACGCTATAACAGAAAAGCATGCATAATCAAAGTGTACCTGGAAAAGTAATGCAGACAAAATGCAACAGTTGATCCTCTCTTTAACATGTGATATCTTAATAAATCTAGGTAAAAAAAAAAGAAGAAGACATTAATTAGTAGGCAATTTTCTCCCATGGAGTAGCTAATGGATTTGAACCTTTGGGATGACAACACTAGGCCACTAGAACTCCCCACACAATATGTAGACAAAAAAACATAAAAAGAGAAAGTGAAAAACACCTATAACCTTAACATCTAAAAATGATTATGGGTAATGTTTTTGTCAATTCCGTTCTAGAATTTCTGTCTATCTGTAGTTCAGACACACAGAAAAACACAAATAATGTAATACACTATTTTCTGGTGGCCTAGGAGTTGTACTGGCAACTCGACGCTATGAGGTTTGAATCCACCAGCTGTTCCACAGGAGAAAGATTGGCAATTACCTCTCATGTGATTAAACTGCCTCTGAAAGCCCACTAAAGGTTCAGCTATGGGTTGATTCTTACTCAACTGTACATAAAACAGCCTCTTATATGAGCATGCAGAGCTTTTATAATGATAAAATGGTAAATGGGTAGGACTGTAGGAAACACAGAGTGAATTAAGGCTAGTGTGAAACGCAATGTATACAAACTTTGAAAGCAAATCAATATAAAAGAAAAATTAAAAAGAAAAAAAAACCACTGGGGAAAAAATGAGGCTCCAAACTAGAATTCCATCAGTAGATTGGAATCATGGAAGCTGATTCCATTTTATCCAAGTATCATGTAGGCACAATGAATTTTCCTCTATGATTATGAGATATCACTTAGCAGGTAAAGATGTCCATCAGGAGCCTAAAAGAAGCTCTTTGTTTGATGCCTGTTTTCAAATTAAGAGATGGGTAGCAGGAACTCAATAATACACACTCATGGACTCAGTATTTCTAATTAGCAATATATAGGAAAAGATCTGAAATAATCAATACCTCAATTCTTAATACTGAAGAGTAACAAAAGGACTGAACATAATCAGCATAATCTAATTGCTTTCTTATATACTGCCATAGAATAAACTTCCCAACATTTAAAAAAAGAGGTGCACAGTTTTAAGGCTTTTGATAAATGTTACTAAATAACTCCCTGAAAAGATTGAACCAATATATTTTCCCAACAGAATTATGGAGCCATTGAAAACATTTCTCTCCACTAAAAATCAAGGGCCTGTCCATTAATGTCTTAATTAGTGTCTTATGTCCCTTAGAAGAATATGAATTTGCTTTATACGGTTCATAAGACATCTATTTGCAACTGAAACCCACATTAACCCCATCTTACTTTGATGGAACCAGTCAGCTTTGCTGTGCTAACAGCAATGTCTTTTTTCAGATGAACTTCACTATGTGGATTTGAGAGTGCTGAAGTTTGCTCTTTTGAGCAGTGAGGAGAAGGGTTTCTTCTACTCAGGGAGACTACAAGGATAGCAGAAAGCCGCTGAAGAATCACAGATCCTGTAGAAGTCAGCCTTCCAGCTGAGTAACCAGGAAATGACTTTCTGTTGGTTAAAAACAATAGGTAGCTTCAGAGGCTCAGCAAAGCTGATGGGCCCTCTGGCAGGAACACTGTACCTGTTCTTCTCCAAGCTGTGAACCTTCCTCTTCAAGTTTTCTATCCTTCGATGCTGAGTACTAGTGGATTATAAACTCAGACTCATAAAAGGAGGTGTGAATGTGTATGGGTAAGGATAAGTTTCTTACCAAGAACACCAAAAAATCAAACTTGACAGAGGTTCAAAATTTGTTACATTAATAATACTAAAAGGTAATATTAAATTTTTCATATTTGTTTAATTTTAATATTAAAAAGCTAACATGAAAAGCTAATGTCAAGGTTCTTGAATTTGGCCCAAAGTCATCTGAGTCCACATTGCTGTGTTGAATATACCGTGGACTGCTAGGTGAACAAACAGGTTTGTCCTGGAGAGGGTGAAGCCAGAATGCTTCTTGGAGTCAAGGATTCTGACATACTTTGAACATGTTGCAAGGAGGGACTGGTCCTTGGAGAGGGATATCATGTTTGGAAGAGTGGAGGGACAGTGCAGGAGAGGAAGACCTTTGATGAGATGGAGTGATTCTGTGAGTAAAGTGGTGGGAATGAATGTGTTTGAGACAGTGAGGTTGGTACAGGATAGAACGGCGTTTAGGGCTCTTGTACATAGGGTCGCTATGAGTCACAAGCTACTTGGTGACACATAATAACAACAACCACCACCAATAGTCCAGTCTTTGGTTCACCAGTTCAACAAATAATCACTGTCATCTCTATGCCAGTCAATTGGGACACATCAGTGAACAAAGGAAAGACCTATGTCCTAATGGCATCCACATTAGAGGAGGTGAGAAGTAGGCGTTACAGGAAGGAAGATCTTCATAAATAAGAAACATAATAAATAAGTAAACAGTGTATCCCTGTACTCTTTATTTCAGGACTACAATTGTCAGGTACCCAGGGTTGGTGGGGCACTTGGCACTCTGCCTGTCACTGGTGGGGGAGATGATTAAATTCTACAGATCCCATGCTGCTGTCACACTCACTGTGCTATCTTTGCTGCTATGACTGCTCCTTGCAAACATCCCCAAATGCCAACTTTTGACAGAAATTCCTCACTGTAGTCCTTAAAGCCAGGAGGTGAAAGGCTGTCAGTGGTACTGGGGAGAGAGGTGCCAAACTCTTCCCACGTATGCAACACATCTGATTTTCTGAAGATGTCATCAAGAGCCTGACACCAATTCTTGAAAGCAGCCCTAAAACAGAAAAAGAGCGTCAACGTGTGTACCTTATGGCTACCCTGCTGAATCTATCTGTTGAAAGGGAAAACAAATACACTCAAGAAGCATTTTGGTTAAAATATTAGAGAAGAAATTAATACTAGTTATGTCTCATAATGATGGAGTGGTATTAATAAGTTCAGAATTCTCTAACTATGTGTATA